TGCCTTAACCACTATCATAGACCAAATGAGCTCTTTTTAATTGCTATCAAAGTGTTCTTGTTGTTGTTTGATCACAGGTTATTTTATTGTATGAGTGGGTAACCATATAAACTAAAGTTAAGAAATAAATGAAAAATAAATAACATGAAGAAGAGGGATGATTGGGGGAATAAGACTTCTCCCATGCAGTCTCCCTGGACCACCTGGGCCAGATTTGGAGGAGATCCTAAAATGCTGCAGCAGCAGAAGAAAGGAGTAGGGTGAGGAGAAAAGCTTATGACATATCTCTAGTTAACAAATTCAAATACAATGGAATACATCCGTCAAAGAGTGTAGCATCCATCACCTTCCATACCACACCAATTTCCTACTTCATTTACAGTTGGTTCACTATCATTTCTCATTGTTGAGGGACAGCCCCTTTGGATTGCTCAGATTTTCTCTTATATTATTAACCCTTAAGTTATGCTCTCAAGGAAGTTGTTCCATCAACTGAAACAATCCTTCTATGAAAAAATAAAGTTGGATATTTAGAATCATCAAGTGAAAGATGAGTAATACGTTATACAATTACACAATGACCTAGTACAGTTTTTTGCAATCTAGTATGTTTTGGACTACAAGTCCATCATCTTTACCTAGTTTAAGGACACATCAAATAAATGCAAATCAAAACATACAATCATGTAATTTTTGATTAATCAAATCAGGTATATTCTATTAATCCAATCAGATTTTTTTGGTGGCTAACATCCTATTCAAATGCATTGGATGGATGGATCCAATGTAATAATTTTTTGGGGGGAAACAGATTGGGATGATTCCTGAAACTAATATCATGAACCTTTTTTCTCTTTTCCAGTGTTCACTATCAATAAAGTTTCACTCCAGGCTTTTCCACAAAATGAAGTGCGCAATGGAAACCCACTCATCCTCAACTGTTCTGTGGACATTAGCAAGAATGAACATTTCCGACTGAATTACACGTTTTTATTTTTCAAGGATGGTGACCTTCTGTTCACTAACACAATTGAACAAGACAGCGCCCAGTATACAATCTCACAGGCTAGATTTTCTTCTTCAGGAGACTATGAATGTTCATTAAGTGTTGAGGAGAAAAAAAAATCTAGTGATCCTTTGACCATTAAAGTTGAAGGTAGGTGTCTCTCCATACTTTGAAGGAACAACTTGGGGTATTAAAATTGTTCTTTATGGATAAGAAAGATTAAACACAATTTTCCTTTTAGTTTTACCATAGTTCTTTTTTCTAATTTTTCCTTCTTTATTCATTTTCTTTCCTTTTTCTTTTCTTTTCTTTTCTTTTCTTTCTGCTTGATTCCAGAATTTTTTTTTCTTGTGTTATTTTTCATTTTCTTTACTTAACGTATTTTAGCCTTTTTCCTGAAAAGCACCCTTATCACTTATGTCCCATGTTTTTCATAGTCACATCTTCTGGTGTTTTTCTGTGGATGAAGCTTCTCTTGTATAAAATTCTATCTGTCTATTTGTCTGGACTGCAGATTTCTATGCTGCTTTCAACCCGCAAATCCTTTTATTCTACCATTTAGTGTTATAAAGTTCCAAAGCAACAAAACAGCCTTTCCCAACTCTGCGCTACAAGGAAGAAATCCAAAGAGGCTTTGCAACACTCCAGTAGCATTTGACTTTAATCCATAAAGAAGCCATGACATACAAGATGGCTTTCTTTAGATGATGCATTTCCCAGAGAAAGTGATACTTTTTTCACTTTATCAAAAAGATCTCTCTTTGTCAGTTGCTATTTGCCTCTTTGGGCTGTTTTTTAAATCTTGCCTTTATTATTTTTATAAATAACTCAAGGCAGTGAACATACCTAATGTTCCTTCCTCTTCCTATTTTCCCCACTACAAGAATCCTGTGAGGTTAGCTGGGCTAAGAAAGAGAGTGATTGCCCCAAAGTCATCCATCTGGATTTTTATGTCCAAAAATGGCACTAGAACTCACGGTCCCTTTTTTTTCTAGCCATGTGCCTTAACTAACATGGTTCTCCAGTTTGTTACAACTTGTCATAACTTATAATTTGTTATAACAAAAAACATCAAGAAAAAAAGAACTTTAGAAGATCCTTTGGAAGAAAAGATCCAGGATCCTAGGCCTCCTTTTTCAGAACTGAGAAAAAGCAGCTTGATCTTGTGATTTTTCATGTATTATCACATGAAAATCCCAAGATCAAGCTGTTTAAAGTGGCTGCCAGCTTGCCACTTGCAAAGGTATATCTTAATTCATGATTGCTTCTCTGTTTTGAAGGCATAATGAAGCCAATATTGAGTGTCCAGAGAACAGCAGTGATGGAAGGTGAAAATGTACTTTTACGCTGTGAGGTGCCAGAAGAAAAGCCACCTTTTTATTTCACATTTTATAAAACTGCACAGTTGGCAAATGGAGTTGTACATGAGAGGAAACGAGGATCGCAACGTGAAAATTTTGTTGAGTTAGAATTCCCCATCGATGCTGGAGACAATATTTTATATTTTGAATGTGCTGTCCAGATGAATTCAATGACAGGACCTCAAATCTCAGAGCGTAGTAACCGAACAATTGTCACCGTTACCGGTAAGTTAGACTTTTGCTTTCAAAACTAATAATTAAAATTATGCTTTTTGATTTTGTTTAAAAAATGCTGCAAACTGAGTTGTAAATTCCTGTTATCCCAAATAAACACATTCTCATGGTAAGCCCAAACATTTTTTTCACACTTTAAGGAATCACTTAGTAATAGTTCTTTCTACATCTCATACATTTTGTCAACTTGGCTTTTAGGAGCCAATACAAAAGTTAAATCAATGAAATATTCCTAAATGTCAAATCAATGAAATATCCTTAAATATTTCTAAAAATCAAATCAATGAAATATTCCTAAAATCAATGAAGTATTCCTAAAAATGAAACCTATGAATGATCCAGTTTTCTAGGTGATATTGTGTCAGGGAATTGTGCAGCAGCTGTCCAGATAAAGTCGGGGACACTAACACAAACTTGTAGTTTTTTTTAGATATATAAATATCTTTATCATTCAAATTTACAGCAGTCTTTGTCATAATCCAGAAATAAACAACACAAGGTAGTCAGGAACCCAGGAACATCATGAGGTAAATTAAACAGTATACAGAACACTCAGAAGAAAAAAGGAGGGAAAAAAGGGAAACCCCCCCCTTTATACTTACAGCAACCAATCATAGCGTAGATTGCCTCATGCATGAAAAAGCACTCTAATTAACTATCTGTGTGTTCTAGCCTAGTGTACACTTTACTGTTCCAGCTACTAAATTCAATATCCTAACATATTGATAAATAATTGCTATGCCAGATGGATCTTTGAATCAACAAGGCGGTTTTCAAATTCTCTGTCAGAGATATTCCAAGCATGTTGGCTGACTCATGATTGAAAGTACAAGAACTGCCAAAAGCACTGGTTCCGGATTATCTCTGATGCTGACTGTCATATATTTTAAAATCAATTAAAGGTTTTTGTCAAATTCCTGTTTATAGAAGGCTTTTGAACAGAAATAAATGTCAAAGTATCTAAGTCCTCAAAGATCATTACAGAAAACAAAATAACCATTAGTCTTGTGACATCTTAAAGAGTTACCACTTCATTTGTACAACTTTGTCAGATATCTGCTGTTTTGACCTGAGAAACTAATACTATGTATGCATTTTTGTATCCCCCTGCAATTGATATTTTGTGCATGGATTGGCTGATTAATACTACATGCTGTGATAAGAATGTCACCATTTTTAACCCAGGGAGCTAAAGGATACTGCATACCAATACTGTTTTCACTCCAACAACTATTTTCAACCATTCCACAATTGCTCTTTTTGTTACCGATGTGAGACTTGAAAGCATCTCATGAGCTTATGGGTTTGCCCTCAAGTTGACCAATGGGCAGCACCAAACACCCCCCAGTTGTTTCACCTTTTCCCTGTTTTTCTAGTGATTTCTAAGTTATGTAAGTGCCTACTGTTCCAGGGAGCTACACTGTTGCTCTTCAACTAAAAGAGCAGCAAAGGGTAGGGTGAGGAGCACAGTGGCTTGCATGGTTAGGATGCTGGGTTGGAGATTAGAAAGCCCGCGTTTGAGACCCGAGTGCTACCATGGGGTGGGGTTGAGTTCCCGTCCTTTGCTCCAGCTCCTGCTGGGGACATGAAAGGAGCTCCCTACTGAGCAATGGTGATGTCACCGGCTAAATCTTTCAGTCTGGAAGAGCCTTGGTGCTTCTGACTGCTAAGGGTAGGGCAATACCTTTAGAAACCAGTAAGCAGAACAAGGCAAGAATGCCCAGTAGGTCTGCATCCACCCCAAAGTTCCAAAATCCATATTGTTGAATTGTCTCCACAGTCATTTCTTTTACACCCCAAAAGAGTGAGAATTTAACTGGCTCTGCTGCCTTATAGACATAAACACATGTATTTGTGTGTGTGCAGAGCTGACCTAGAAGTAGTGGAGATGCTGCCGTTAGAGGAGCCCAACTCAGATATTTATTCTGAATTTGCAATTATTTTGCTCAAGTCTGTTCACCATCATGAAGCAGCAGAGATGGAATTTTATGAAAAGGTCTTAATGCAATTTGTTTTTAAAACATTGTGTATGTTCATTAATAATCTCACCAGCGTGAGAATAAATTCAACAGGGGTACAGAATTATGAATGGTCTTTTTTGTTTAGGCCCATGCAGTGCTCTGGATTTAAAGATAAAATGGTGCTTTAGATCATACTTTGATCTAGCAGCATCCATGTGTTTGTGTGTGTGTGTGTGTGTGTGTGTGTGTGTGTGAGAGAGAGAGAGAGAGAGAGAGAGAGAGAGAGAGAGAGAGAGAGAGAGAGAGAGAGAGAGAGAGAGAGAGAGAGAGAGAGAACAGGCAAGATAGTGATTATCCCTTGTCCCTTTTGGATATGCATCAATGTTCCATACATGTACAAAGGAGTGGGACTTTCATTACACAGTTGCAACTACCATCTCACCATACATGCACACACACATTCTCACACAGATGCCATTTACAGCAAGTCCTTAAACCAAATGTATATTTTCCCAGAGTCTCAACAATCTCAAAAAAGAAATAATAGTACAGCCCTGCTACCTATAAATAACAATTATTTTTACTTTCTATAGCTTATTTAATCTTTACTTTTATCCTCCCCACCCTTCCCTTTCCTCAGATTCCTTTATATGGATAATACTACATATATCTGAAGAAGTGGACTATAGTCAATGACATCTTAAATTCTTAGTTAGCTTATAAGGTGTGTGAGAAGTTTTATATCCAAATATATATTTATTTTTTATACTGTTTCCATCTTCCCCTTAAAATATTAACAGTCAAGCTGAAACTAAGTTAAACAAAAATTAGCAAACTTCCTCAAATGTTATCCAGATCTAATCCACATATCAAAGGATAAGGTCTGCAAACAATTAGGTCTCCCAGAGGAACTGCATGTTCACAAGAATAAACATACCTACACAAACATACACACGCATGCGCCCCTCAAGTGCCACTCTAGAATCCGCACATGATACCCCGCACAAGCTCCCCCTATAAAAATCTGCTGCTGAACCCCATTTTTCTGCAGCCTGCCCTTAAATGTAAACTGTTTTGCTTTTAGGAATAAATATTTCTTCTTTCCTCACAGCTGTCCGGATCTCAGTTTTATTTATTCTTGCGCAGCCCCAACTCAAGTTGGAACTCCAAATTATTCTTCTGACAGTTGCCCACAAGACCCAGACTCAGGTTTTTCCTTTAGCAGAGTAACATAGCCACCTCTCTGGAATCTTTCCGTAGGCTGGGGTTTTTTAAAATTATGACAGATTTGCTTCTTTTTTGGCAGAACCATTTTCTGTTCCTAAAATAACCATCGACCCACCAAAGAATATTACTGAAGGGGATAAGATCTGTATAACATGTTCGACAGTCCTACTTCGCCAGGATCAAACTGAAATTATCTTGCAGAAAAACAAAACAATTCTGAATAGCACGAAGGGCAGAGAGACCCTAACCTATTGCAAGATAGTCAAGATGGAAGACAATGGCAAATATATGTGCAAAGTGGAGCATGGAAGTGTATCTAAAACTGACAAAGAAGAACTTGTAGTGGCTGGTAAGAGATTTCTCCATCTTGCTTTAATAACTCATAGCCCGACCTTAGTCTATGCTTTCACTAATTATGGGGTGGAATATCTACTTTTTCATGATATGAATTTATCATTTGGGTGAGTTCTAGTCAGAGCAACCTCATGATGTCCTATGATGTCCTTCACACCTTGTGAAACTGCTTCAGGCTTGCTCAGCAAGAAATAAGACAGTATCTGAACACACATGTCTTTCCTTTCCTCAAGTTTTACGTATAGCAGCAGTGCTTTTTTTGTAAAAACAAAGGTGCCGGAACTCACACACGTCATACAACCCGCCTTGCCTACCCTACAAGGTTTACCTTTGTAGTTGAAAAAAAACCCCTTCAATTTTTAGTGTATCTAAAAGACTAGGATTTTGTTCAAGGCAACCCTGGAAAATCCGTCGAAAAAAGGTGCCGGAACTCCATTCCAGTGCATTCTATGACGATAAAAAAAAAGCCCTGTATAGCAGGATTGGGGAATCATGTACTACAGTTCTGGAAATAAACACAGAAGGTGTTGCTTGGTTTTTAGGCAAGCTGTAGGATACTATGTAAGACAATGTTGCCTTGCCTAAGAATAAGGCAGTCGAGTCCTTCAGCCCACTATTAATCCACTTGAAATCTTGGGAAGGGCACAGTAGACAACATTTATCAGGAGGACTTTTCTAATCCAGAAATAGCATTCAGGATGCTTTTGAGCCATCTCATGGAGTCTGTGGGCAAATAATGAATTACTCTAATATAGTGCATACCTTAGACTTGCTTCAGGTGAACCCAGGGCCTTCTATGATAGGGTAGCATTAAGTGCAGGTAATCCTTGACTTACAACTTACAATTTGTTTAGTGATCATTCGAAGTTACAACGGCAGTGAAAAAAGTGACTTATGACCAGTTTTCATACTTGCATCACCGTCACGTCAATATCCCCATGGTCACAGAATCAAAATTTGGACTCGTGGCAACTGGCATGTATTTATGACAGTTGCACTGTCCCGGGGTCATGTGATCACTATTTGTAACCTTCCCAGCTGACAAGCCAATGGAGGAAACCAGATTTGCTTAATGACTGCGTGATTCACTTATCAGCTGCAGTGATTTGCTTAACAACTATGGCAAAAAAAGTTGTAAAATGGGGCAAAACTCACTTAACAGCTGCCTTGCTTAACAATGGAAATTTGGGGCTCAACTGAGGTTGTAAGTTGAGGACTTTTTAAAGTCAATGACTATTATAATGTTTGTAGTTTAATGTATTTTAAGATTTAGCGAATGAGGGTGAATATTTAAGATTTAAATTTATGTCTTTTTCCAGTAATGTGCTACAGTATTATTTTTATTTTTTCTCTTATTGTTCCCATCGTACTGTGGGTGTCTTTTTAGAAGAACACATAAACATTAAATCAAATTTCCTGGAAGAAACGAAAGCCACTTACCAGTCATTTGGCAGCGAGCAAGTGAACAAACAAGTGCATTTAGCATTCTTAGAGCAAAAGTGAATCATTCAGAGTTTCCTGACAGTGACAGGTGAAAATTAGACCCAGAGAAAAATGCTGAAAGGGTAGCACTGGGGCCAGCATCGCCCATGCATGAAATTTAAATTTTATAATTTTGTATCCTTTGTTAAAACTGCCAGTTATCTCAGTTATAAAGGCAGTGATGCATTATAATATAATAAAATTTATATTTCCAGATTCCGAAAAACAAATCTGTTAAATTCTAAATTTTGCCCAATAATAGAGAGACCTGCTATCTTTACCATGTCAAAGATTTGAGGCTTTGTCCAGAGGTGGGGGGGGGGGCTGCATGGCTGCCTGAGTGATGCACAGAGAATACTAACATAAATATGCCCCTTTACATAGCAGGCAGTAGGAAACCTATGGACTCAACAACTCCTTTCAATAGATTGCCATTCTCCCATTATTTCTGCAGACTTGAGAATGGCAAATTTCTGTTGGGCAATAAAGCTTCTGTTTTGACTATTAAAAACAGAAAAAGGCAGTTTGGTTTTGTAAGCTGCCAAGAATCATTGAATTGTGACAGGTCACACATTTAATAGATAAATGTGCAGTTTGCACCTGGGGTTCTAAGATTTTATATCCCATGCATTATACTGATAAGGAAGGGGCTTTGTATGTTGCAGTTACTATAGTTAACCTGTTCCCTCCTATCTTTCATCTCTACAATCACCATACAAATTCCTCCTCACTATAATTCCAATGATGATGATGTTATCCATTCAGTCGTGTCCGACTCTTGGTGATTCTATGGGCCACGTCACTCCATACCTTCTGATCTTACACAACTTTTTTGAGTTGTTCTATGCTCTAGCTCAGGGGTCCCCAACCCCCGGGCCGTGGACCAGTACCAGGCTGTGGCATGCCAGTAACCGGGCTGCACAAACAAGGAAAACTCGATCCAGAATGCAGGTAGCACACAAAACCACGCACCCTCCAGTCTGTGGAAAAACCTCTCTCCACGTAACCGGTCCCTGGTGCTCAAAAGGTTGGGGACCTCTGCTCTAGCTGGTGTCAGCTTTGATGGTGATAATTTCAGCACTATTAACTTAAATTTCCTGTTGGTTGACAGAACAGAATCGGTATTTAGAACCGTTATTCAAGAATTTTGAGCATATGCTCCCTCTAATTATTTTAATGATTTTTTTGGTTCTGACAGGGTGATTCACACTCTGTAAAACTAACATTTGATGACATACCTTAGTGTGTATCTAGTCTCTGAAGGCGGTAGATGTCTTTTCTGGATTGCAACTCATGCAAACAAGCATGAGTATCTCTGGATTTGGGGGTGAAGCTAGGTCTGGTGTTGTGCCATTGATAACTCTAGAAGGGATAGTAATCCCCTCAGGCAGAGTTAGTATACAATTTGGGGGTCCTCCTGTACTCATGAGTTCTAATCAAGGAATAGTTGGTAACTATGCCTAAAAGGTAGAAAGGTAAAGTCGTGTCTGACTCTAGGGAGCAGTGTTCATTTTCATTTTTTGACCAAGAGAACCAGCATTGTCCAAAGACATTTTCCATGGTCATGTGACCAGCATGGCTATATGCCAAAGGTGCATGGAATGCTGTTACTGTCCCACCATCCCACCGAAGTGGTACTTATTAATCTACTTGCATTTGCACGCTTTCGAACTGCTAGGTGGGCAGGACATTTGCACAAATCCATCTTATGTACCAGTTGTGCCTTTTCTTGGATCTGCTGATAGTCTTTCATGCCTTAGTCACTTCCAGATTGAATTATTGCAACATCTTGTCTTGAAAAGCATTTGAATCATTCAATTGGTCCAGGAAACAATTGGCATGCATAGTATTGAGTACACCTCAAGCTTGATTTAGACTTGTCCACAACTGAGTGTAGGTATCGACGCATACCCACCACAAAGGGGTTAATGGATAAATGTAGGTTGCAGATAGTTGCAGGTGGGCTGATGTGCACACCTGCCAAATCTCAACTATGTGTTGTGTGGAGATGCATGTCCTGCATGCTGATTGGTTGATTTCTGTTGGGAGGCAGGTGGAAGTCAAGTCACATTGTTGTTTGAGCACCCCCTAGCCAGAAAGTTACAATTCACAGAAGTATAATGCCATAGCTATGCAACTGTCTCCAAATAACAGAGACATATGTTCTCTGACTGTAGTGATGCATAAGTCTAAATCATGTCTAAGTTTGTCTACGCAACTCCACTGAGTGTAAAGGGCCAGCTATAATTTTTAAGGTCATATATATAGCACAGGGCCAGTTTACTTGCAGAACTGCCTCACCCCTGTTTGCCTGTCCCATCAGAGCACATCTACCTCAGGTCTCGTTGCTTAAACAGTGCCATCTTGCAGGAGCCTAGGAGTCACACCGTCTCTGTGACAGTGTCCATCTTAAGAAACAGTATTCCCCACCTCATCCCAGATCTAAATGTTCTGACACTTTTGGCCTTTCAGAAGTTTATGAAATCCTGGTTATCCCTCCATCATGAGAACCAGTGTTGAAAGAAAAATCAGTCCAGTTCCAAGCCGGGAATAAAAATGGAGGCTGACTGCTTAGGAAAGGTTTTTGTTTATTGATGAGCAGACAGAACTGTCCCAGAACTGCAGCAACAGCATGCAGTTCTGGGACAGCTGACCAAATGGAGTTGAGAGTGGGTGGATTTTTATGGGGCTCTGAGACTTTGAAGTGGAAATGTTTCTGGGTTGTGCAATGAGGTGGGTTTTTGTGTCTTTTGCTAGTCTAATGGCGGCAGTTTAATCATACTATGTCCTAAAGGTCATGTCCTGTCCTTGGAATTTGGGTGGGGGAATGTAAATTCTTAATCCCATGAGCTGTGGGGGCTGAAGGCATTTTGCTTATGAATAGTGTGCCCCAGTCTTTCTGAATGGATTACCAAATCTGCATTTCTAAAGGTTGGCCTCTTCAGGTTTCTGTCTGAGGAAAGAAAGACTGGGGCTGTTTCTGCCTAATATTTTTTTTTCTCCATTTCTCCTTCATGGGAAATATTCTATCCTGCCTCTTTTAATATTCCCCAAAATATTTCATTCTCGGGGGGGAGCAGACTCCCTACACAAGGTTGTTAGCAGAGGCCAGTATCCATGCTTTTGAGATTGTATTTGTGAAATGCTTTGACTGCTGCTTTACATTGGTTATTTGCTTAAGATGGGCAATTTTTCTAAATAAACCAATACCTTCAGGCTCCCCTTCCCTTTCAGATCAGTAATTTATGTTCTCTCATTATTTTGCAGAACTGTTTTCCAAACCAATATTAGTGGTTAATAAAACCAGCTGGGATGAAAACAGCATTGTACAAATTCAGTGTCAAGTGAACGGTCCAATGCCGATCAGTCTCTCGCTCATGAAGGACAACAAAATATTGGCAAACTCCAGCACTTACTGGGCTGAGCTCCATGTATCTGACACTGGAATCTATATGTGTAGAGCAGAGATAAACAACATTTCCAAGGAAAGTGACCCAGTATTTCTCCGTGTTCACGGTAGGTTGATTTAAAGATGTGAAGCCCTCTATTTTTACTTTTGTCTTCTCCAACTTGGAGCTCTTCTAGATATGTTGAGAGTTGGGACAACTGATCTTGGGATTCTTAGCTGGCACGTCCAAAGCGTTTGGGAAAGCCGAGACTATGGAAGGCTTTCTTATCTGATAAATAGGAAATCATTATATACTGAACACAAGCCTTTCTGCAACTTTATGGTACAGATAGTCCTCAACTTATGATCAGTTGCTTAGCACTGTTCAAAGTTATGATGGACCCCCAAAACCTGGTTCCGAAGTTTAGAACATGGTTCCGAAGTTCCAACAGTTGCCCTCCCCAGCCAGTCAAATGACCCCTTTTGGCCCGTTTTTCAACGAGCCCAGGGGTAGGCAACCTTGGCTCTTTTATGTCTCGTGGACTTCAACTCCCAGAATTCCTGAGCCAGCCATGCTGAGGGGAAAAGGAGAGGTTTCCAAACTGAGCAATGCTGGCTCAGGAATTCTGGGAGTTGAAGTCCACGAGACATAAAAGAGCCAAGGTTGCCTACCCCTGAACTAGCCCATATTTACAGCTGTTTGCAGTGCACCACGGTGCGTGACCGAGCTTTACAACAGTGTGCAATCACTCACACTTCATTAAATGAATCAGCTCATCTGTGTCCTGTGGTAGTGCATTCTTATCAAGTTTCACCTTTATAAAGAGTACAGTAGTCCTCGACTTACGACCACAACTGAACCCAAAATTTCTGTCATTAAGTGAGGCATTTGTTAAATGAGTTTTGCCCCATTTTATGACCTTTCTTGCCACAGTTGTTGAGTGAATCACTGCAGTTGGTAAGTTAGTAAGCTGGCTGTTAGGTGAATCTGGCTTCCCCATTGACTTTTCTTGCCAGGAGGTCGCAAAAGGGGATCGCAATGACCTTGGGACACAGCAACGGTCATAAATATGAGTCAGTTGCCAAGCATCTGAATTTTGATCAGATGACCATGGGGATGCTGCAAAGATCGTAACTGTGAAAAATGGTCATAAGTTACGTTTTTTTCAGTGCCGTTGTAACTTTGAACAGTCACTAAATGAACTGTTGTAAATCAAAGACCTGTATTTCTGGACAAGTACAGACTTCATTTCCCCTCACCATTGTGTGGTTTTCTTTCTTCATGTTCATTTCCCATTTTAGGAATTAACTGCTGTGTAATGAACCAAGGTTGTTTTATTATTTCAGCTGCCACTAATCTCCCAATATGCGAGATAGGTGGCAAATAAATTTAGTTAGTTAATTAATTAATACTCTATTTCTTTCCAGCTCCAGTTTCTCTGCCTGTCCTTTATCAACCAGTTTCCCAAATAGCTGTACTGGAGAAGTTCTTTGTCTTACAATGCTACTCAAGGTTTGGGACTCTGCCTATCACATACACCCTTTACAGAGGGAATATACTTATCAGGACAATTGTGACCAGAGCAAACATACCAGCAAACTTTACGGTCAAAGCGACTAGCATCCACGAGTCTGGACAATACAGATGCCGTGCTAACAACGGCCACTCTCTTTCGCAACAAAGCAAAAGACTAAATGTCACAATAATAGGTAACTGTTTGGTATGCTTTTATTTATTTTTTTAAAGATTGGTGAGAATTGCTGTTTGTCATGCTATTTGTCTGAATCTGAATACATCTGAAGGCTGCCTGGTGGGGAAAGCTGATCTGAGACAATTGTTGATTTCATAAGGTTCCTTTGAAAAATCTTAGAACTCTTACGTTGCTAATTTTTTTTAAAAAGTTCCTAATATAGACAGGAATTCCTTTCCTTTGCATGCTGTCTGGAAATGGATTCCATTAGAGATAACAAAGCTTCACGTTTACCTACAGCAACCCCATTTTTTTACACACAGGCCCCATTCCCAGCCAGTTTGGTCTAGTGGTGAAAGCACCAGAGTAGAAAGCAGGGGACCCTGAGTTCTAATCCTGCCTTAGGCATGAAAGCCATCTGGGTGACCTTGGGCCAGTCACTCTCTCTTAGCCCAGCCCATCTCACAGGATTGTTGTTGTGGGGAAAATAGGAGGAGGAAGATACGTTTGGATATATTTGCTGCCTTGAGTTATTTGTAAAAATAATAAAAGCAGGATACTAAATTTTCAAAAAACAAAACGCAATTGGGAAGGGTTAGGACTTTTGCTAACCCAGTTTAATCTACTGCTGACCTTTGTCCATGTACTTGCATCCACAGCTCCAGTTGTTAACATAACTTTTGAAAGAGAACCACAGGAGAACATAGAAGATGGCAATGAACTCTTATTTTTCTGCTCGGTTAAATCAGGATCCTTCCCTGTTGAGTTCCACTTTTTTAAAGAGAATGACGCCAAATCGTTACATCATGTCACAGAAAATAAAAAGCTATCAGTTATTTGGCACAAGCGAAGCTTCACAAGCCAGGACGAAGGAAGTTACTTCTGCAGAGCTGACAACCAAGCAAACTCTTTTGTGGAAAGCCAGAAGATCCTGATCAAGGGTATGTCCCGCTCCTGAGCACGGAAGACAAAGTCTCTAGGCACTGCCTTCTGTTGCTGATCACCACAATGAAACAGGCATTGTGTCATCATGACACGAGGTGCAGATGTTGCACCTGATGAGGCTAAATTTCACTACGTAACACCTCCAAGAAATGCTAAGAGCAGCTTTGTTAGTCCAAGGATGCAAAAGAAAGAATTAAAGTGTGTCCTGTGCACCGCAAGAGGACAAAGGACATTTTTTTTCTGTATTTCTGAAAACATTTTTTTTGCACAATCTCTCAGATTCTATTCTGTACAGGTGCTCCTTGACAGTTTGTTTAGTGACCATTCAAAGTTACATTGGTCAGTCACTTTGAAGAAAGTGACATGACTGTTTTTCACAGTTACGGCCTTTGCAGCATCTCCATGGTCACGTGATCAAAATTGAGATGCCTGGCAACTGGTTCATATTTATGACCGTTGCTGTGTCCCAAGGTCACAGGATCCCCTTTTGCGGCCTTCTGACGAGCAAACCCACTGAGAAAGCCAGATTCACTTAACAACCGGGTTACTAACTTATCAACTGCAGTAATTCACTTAACAACTTTGGCAAGAAAGGTCGTAAAATGGGGCAAAACTCACTGAACAAATGTTTCAATTAAGAACAGAAATTTTGGGCTCAATTGTGGTCGTAAGTCGAGGACTACCTGTATAATATTGCAGATGCCAGGATGAAACTTAGATAGGATATGACAGGAAACGTGAATTATCCCAGATTTCAAATGAATGTACAGGTAGTCCTTGATTTATGACCACAGCTGAGCCCAATATTTCCATTGCTAAGCAAGGCAGTTGTTAATTGAATTTTGATCCGTTTTACGACCTTTTTTGCCAGATGTTAAATGAATCATTGCAGTTGATAAGTGAATCACTTGGTTGTTAAGAGAATCTGGCTTCCTCCCATTGATTTTGCTTGCCGGAAGCCGGCTAGGAAGGTTGCAAATGGTGATCACATGACCTCAGGACAGTGCCACTCTGATAAAATACATGCCAGTTGCCAAGAGCCTGAATTTTGACTGCATGACTATGGGGGATGCTCCAATGGTCATAAGTGTGGAAAAGAGCCATAAGCCACTTTTTTCAGTGCTGTTGTAACTTCAAATGGCCACTAAATGGAAGATTGTCAGTTGAGGACTACCTGTAATACCGTAGCTCTTCAGTGTCATAGATAGAGAGCAAGTGATGAAACCGTGTGTGCCAGTGTTGCCACATAAACACTGCCCTCTATAGGCAAAAGGGTAGAATTTGGATCCTGATGCATGTTTTCTCACTTTGGTCTTGGAAGCTGATGCCTGGACCTTTGGGAATGTAAAGTGCCAATGCAAAGAAGTTTGTGTTCTTTCACACCAAGCAAAGGTGCAAAGAGGGTTCCATTACACTGAGGGTATCCTAGTCTTTATTCTGTTGCCTTTCCTCTATAATTTGTCCAACTCAGAGTAAGATTGCATGGCAGGATCTGCCTGTCCAGCTCCAAGTGCAGGTAAAGGGTTGATTGGAAATACAGGCAGTCCTCAGAATAATAGAATAACAGAGCACACAGATCTTGGAGGTCTTCTAATCCAGAGGTCCCCAACCTTTTGGGCACCAGGGACCGGTTCCGTGGAGAAAGGTTTTTCCATGGACCGGAGAGTGCGTGGTTTTGTGTGCTGCCTGCATCTCGCCGATGGGGCTTCGCTTGTTGTGCGGACCGGTTGCTGGTGTGCTGCGGCCCAGTACCAGTCCATGGACCGGGGGTTAGGGACCCCTGTTCTAGTCCATCCCCCGATCAGGCAAGAAACCCTATACCATTTCAGACAAATGGCTGTCCAGTCTCTTCTTAAAAACCTCCAGTGTTGGAGCATTCACAACTTCTGGTGGCAAGTCATTCCACTGATTAATTGTTCTCACTGTCAAACTGTCCTCAACTTACAACAGTTCATTTAATGACTGTTCAAACTTACAACAGTACTGAAAAAAGTGACTTATGACCGTTTTTCACACTTCTGACAGTTGCAGCATCCCCATGGTCGTGTGATCAGAATTCAGACCCTTGGCAACTGACTCATGTTTATGACGGTTGCAGGGTCCTGGAGTCATGTGATCAGCTCTTTGTGAACTTCTGGCAAGCAAAGCCGATGGGGAAGACAGATTCACTTAACAACCGTGTTACTTACTTAAAACAACTGTAATGATTCGCTTAACAACTGTGGCAAGAAAGGTCGTAAAATGGGGCAAAATCCCGAGACTTAATAAATGTTTCGCTTAGCAACAAAAATGTTGGGCTCAATTGTGGTCGTAAGTCTAGGACTACCTGTAACATTTTTTTTCAATATTCCTCTATTGCAGGGGTAGGCAACCTTGGCTCTTTTATGACTCGTGGACTTCAACTTCCAGAATTCCTGAGCTAGCCATGCTGAGGGGAAAGGGAGAGGTTTCCAAGCTGAGCCATGCTGGCTCAGGAATTCTGGGAGTTGAAGTCCACGAGTCATAAAAGAGCCAAGGTTGCCTACCCCTGATCTATTGGAAACCCCAGGGATCTTCCTCCTTCCAACATAGCTGGAGAGGATTGTGATTCAGTTGCACCATTTCTGATCACCTTGTTTTGAAGGAGAGGATTATGGAAACCATGAAAGGGGAGGTCGTGGCTCATATCTTTTTCTACTCTTAGTTTATGGTTTAACTTTGTGTACAAGGTTAGCAGTACAGTTAAAATAAACCCTAACTTAATGCCATAACTGACCCAGACATAGGAAAGAGTTGACACTGTAGGAAGAGATTCTTATGATATTTTATGCCTGAATTGTGACTTATTTTTCTCTTAATTTTTCAGTTGTCATGGCTTCGTGGAAGAAAGGACTTATTGTAGCCACAATCCTCCTGATTTTTCTTGCTGCTATAATTACAATCGTTTGGTTGAATTGTCGTTTGAAAGCAAAGGGTAAAAACTACCTTAAAAATCTTTAGTTCTTACCTGATTAGCAAATAGTACAGGATTCTTCTGAACCTTTCGGTTGTCAGAATTAATGCTGCATTTCCCTTATTAACCCTAACATGGGGAATAAAAGAAGACCACCTCAGATAATACTCTTTCTTTTTCCAGACTGAATTTGTGCTTCATTTGTCCTGCACTAATGCTTCTGCTGATTGGCTGGAAAGTAAAATTTGCAGATGCGTATCTAATTATAGTGTTAGTAGATATGTTAGTGAATCTGGTGAAAATGTTTATGGAGACTTCTGTTGCAGTATGAGCCAAATCTGAAATGACGGGAGAATTCATCTGCAAGTTGAAATGGAGAAGAGTATTTCGAGTTTACGAAATGCACCCAATTTTCCAGCCATTAATCATGAGTTTGCATGCCACGCTAATTCTAAACATAGTTGTCTTAGTCCTGGATTAACTCGTTTATGATTATATGTGAAATTGTTCAATATGAGGTGTTCAACAAATTATAGCTGGACATGGCTTAGATTAGAACATTGGATGTTCTCTCACAATTCTCAAAAAAAAAAAAAAAAAAAGCAACTAGCCACCATGTTTTTATCTACTATGTTTTGTAAACCCAGCCTATGTTTTAATATTTTTTATTGCAAATAATAAGAACTAAAAAAAACTATGGTAGAGCTGTAAAATTGGTTCTCCATTAGTTATAGATAATTCTTTTGTTTTGACCCTCTAGCCTATTTTTACAAAAGTTGTCTTGAAAGATTTTTTTCATAACTGTCCCATTTGCCATTTTACATGGCCATATTTTACAAATTCTATTGTTATTTCTGATAATTACAATGACAAATTATTCCTTAAGAAATTGGAGAAAACTAAAATGGGTTTAAACTAAGATCCATCTGCTTCCAGGGTTTTTTGTGCAGTGTTAGAGTAACAGTATGAGAAGTACTTTTCCTCCATGTTCATTTGTTTATACAACTGACTTTCTGTTTATGCACTACAGCGTAGTAATTTATTGTTTTTTCCCCCCTTATCAAGCGAAAAACATTTCTACGGAGTTGTCTGTGTAAGTTGGAATTCAAATTGTTATTGATCATATACATATATTGATAATGATGGTGATGATGATGATGGTGGTGGTGGTGGTGGTGGTGGTAGTGGTGATGATGATAATGATGAAGATGTTATTTATTCAGTTGTGTGGGCCAGGTATCTCCACATCTTCCGAACTTGCACTACTTCTGTGAGTTTTTCTGTACTCTGGCTGGTGTCACCTTTGATGGTGTCCAGCAACTGTGTTCTCTGGTGGCCTGGCTTCCTTTTACCTCCAACTCTTTCAAGCATTATTGCTTTTTCCACATATATCTATAGGTAGCAATAAATAAATCTCTAAAGCTGTTCTGTAGGAACACTCTCATTGATTTGCACAAATGGACACAACAAATAATTTATTTGATTAGTTAAGTTATTGGAATGTTTTGAGAGCATTAGGAAAGTTTCTACTATGGAAGTGGTCCCTTGGGAGATGTAGAAATATTGAATTAAGAATATTCAGTAAAGAAGGAAAAACAGACATTTTCCCAATTAATTGTACGGGTATTCCTCCCCAGGAAAAAGGTGAACACAGAGGGCTAGAAAAGTGTCAGGAAAAAACCTCAATAGTTGCCTTCTGCTAAATGGGTGTTTTGTGAGTGGGTGTGTCAGCCCTTTTGTGGAAGAGCCTATAACACGATTGTAATAGTCCCAAAAAGTTTCACCAGTTCAGAAAGATTGCCTATATGGAAGGGGTTCCCAACCCACAACCTGTGGACCAGTACCAGTCTGCGGCCTGTTGGGAACCAGGCTGCAGAAGTGGTGGGCATGCGTGTGAAGCTTCCACTGCCACTGCTGCTGCTGCCACCGGTTCATGGAGTCAGAAAGGTTGGGGACCATGTTGTATGGCATCAGAGGGGTACACAACTATATTTCTGAGAACTTGGATAATCCTGTGTGTAATTCGTAATGCAAGTGCCTCTGTATTTCCCTTGTTCTCTTTCATTTTAGATCCAAAAGAGCAACCAATTCAGTGGATGGGAAACTGACAACAGGACACAATAATGAAGGAGAATTCTATTATGGTAAGATTATTTACTTTCTTAATGCCTATATTATAGATTTGGGCACTTCCTCATGAACGCTATGAAATGCTGCCATCCATTGCGGAAATTGGCCCTTCTAATTTAATCTGCCCTGGCAACAAAGCAGAATAGGGATTTATTTGGTCTGCACCAGAGAACATCTCCTTTCATGCCAGCTACTGGTAGGAGAAGAGCTGCAGGACTTTTGTGATTAGGCTTCCCATGCTATCAGTGATCATTCCCCAGTGAAGTGGAGAAAGAGAAACAGAATCAAGAGAACTGGCATCCAAGCTGCTCTTCTCCCCCACTTTTTTTCTGGAAGTAGCACCCTTTTAGATAAGATAAGGCAAGGCAAGGTAAGGTGAGGTGAGGCGAGGCGAGGCGAGGCGAGGCGAGGTGAGGCGAGACGAGACGAGACGAGACGAGACGAGACGAGACGAGATGAGACAAGACAAGACAAGATAAGATAGGATAAGATTTATTGACATTTTTTACTGTGGGCACAACGGCACACATCAAAAATGAAATTTAGTTGCCCGCTCTCAAAGTGAAACACATATATGACACACACCTAAACATACTATATACAATATATGTATAGACCCATACCCCTACATATACGTAACAAATAAATATTAAACACTGTCCATCTTGAATATATAACGGAAGGAGGAAGCTTGAGAGTAGCAAAGCTGCCCATGACTTAACCAAATAATTTGCTTCCCCTTCTTCTCCTGCTAGCCATGGGTTGGCAGAGAAGTGAGAGCAATAGCATTTGGCCCAATGGGAAAACTGTGACCGTCCTGCTGCCCTGAAAGTCATTGGCCAAGGACCGGAAAGGGGACATACCCACAGCAGCCACCACTGGTGACTCTCACCCTGGTCCACTTTAGATTGATTAGATAACACAGCTTGTGCTGGAAGAAGCTGGAAAACACAACTGGAGCAGATGAAGTCTCCCTCTTGGTGTTGAGGGTTGGAAAAGCTGTTTGGTGCCTCTCCTCTAAATTCACTTGGCGGGTCCTCTCCAACTTGCAATTAGCAGATGTGTGGAAGAATCCTTTCTTTTGTAATGCCAACGTAATGCCAACATTGCCAAGATGACAACAATGAGAATGATCTATTCTAGGCCCAAGATCATTAACCCCTCTTGACCCAGTGTAATAGTTGTGTTAATGTAATCAAACCCGATGATGGGGAATTACTGACAGAGGCCTTTTTTCAGGGGCAATTCCTTAGAGACTAGTTGATAGTTATAGCTGAAAATAAAGCATGAGAATGATCAGAATCTGAAATGGGTAGACACACTCGTTCTCTCTCTGATGCTCCTTTTTGTTTTTCTATCTTCATTTTTTCCATTTAGGTTCGGGGCATAATGAAGACGGTGAAAAAAATCACATCAGTGCAAAAGAGGATAATAGAGGTAACATCTTGTTTGGGTTTCCATGTAACATTTTAACTTTTTAGCTTAGTGCTTTTCTCTCCTTGTGTCCACCTATGAGGCAAACATGTCTTGACCACAGGGTGGTTTTTTGGGAGGTTTTTTTTTGCTTTGTGAGGTTACCTTTAATTTACACTCAGCCTATGCACAGTACATCTTTGAATTGTCTTTAGCTGTAATTTTTGCTAAAGCCACATTTTCCTCCTTAAGCCAAGGCGATCCAAGAGCAGTTTGGAGGTGTGTAAAATGTATCGTGCCTGGCTGACCACCCTTTTGCAGTGCAGTCAGGTAAAATAAACTAAACACAAAGGGGAAAAATCATCCTAGAGGAAGCCGCTTTTTGTGGTTGCTAGAACTGACACCAGTTTAATAACACATAAGTTCAGAATAACAGAGCTGGAAAAGACCTTGGAAGTCTTTCTAGTCCACTCCCCTGCTCATTTCAGACAAGTGGCCATCCTGTCTCTTCTTAAAAACCTCCAGTGTTGGAGACTCTAGAAAGAGTACAGAGAAGAACAACAAAGATGATTAGGGGCCTGGAGGCTAAAACATATAAGGAACGGCTGCTGGAATTGGGTATGTCTAGTTTAATGAAGAGAAGGACGAGAGGGGACATGATAGCAGTGTTCCAATACCTCAGAAGCTGCCACAAAGAAGAGGGAATCAAGCTACAGTATTTTCCAAAGCGCCTGAAGGCAGGACAAGAAGCAACGGGTGGAAACTAATCAAGGAGAGAAGCAACCTAGAACTAAGGAGAAACTTCCTGACAGTCAGAACAATTAACCAGTGGAACAACCTGTCTCCAGAAGCAGTGAATGCTCCAACACTGGAAGTTTTTAAGAAGAGACTGGACAGCTGTTTGTCTGAAATGGTATAGGGTTTCCTGCCTGAGCAGGGGGTTGGACTAGATGACCTCCAAGGTCCCTTCCAACTTTATTATTATTATTATTATTATTATTATTACTTACAACTTCTGAAGGCTACCCATTCCACTGGTTAATTGTTCTAACTGTCATGAAATTTCTCCTCAGTTCTAGGTTGCTTCTCTCCTTGATTACTTTCCACTCATTGCTTCTTGTCCTGCCTTCAGGTGCTTTGGAGAATAGCTTGACTCCCTCTTCTTTGGGGCAGCCACTCAAATACTGGAACACTGCTGTCATGTCATCCCTCGTCCTTCTTTTCTCTAGGCTGGCCATACTCAATTCCTGCAACCGTTCTTCATTTTTTTTTTTTGTCTCCAGGCCTTTAATCATCTTAGTTGCTCTTTTCTGCAGCCTTTCAAGAGTCTCAACATCTTTTTTATATCGTGGCAACCAAAACTGGATGCAGTATTCCAAGTGTTGTCTTACTATGGCTTTATAAAGTGGTACTAATGCTTCACGTGTTCTTGATTCTATCCCTCTGTTAATGCAACCTATAATCAGTTCATCAATTAATAATCTGCAATAATAGTAATATAGTCACAAAAACCTATCAATTAATCAAGGGAAAAAAGAAAGATTCACACAATTGAAACTAAGAAATAAACGATAAAAAAAAAAAATATGAGCTATTTATGATATAAATACAGTACAAAATAAGCATTTAGATTTTTTTTTACCTGTTAATCACTGTAATGTAGGTAGGCTTTTACTGTATTATCACTGTGTTAATATTTTTGATGTGTTGGTTTGTTTGCTAGTTATACTTCTCCCCCCAAAAATTACTGTATACAAAAGGAAGTGGGCACACGAAAGTTGTGCGGTATGTTTTTTTCTTTCCAGCAAACCATGGCTTAATGTGTTGCACGAACCCACCATGTCTTATTCTGTTGGTTTATACATCACACCAAGCCGTAAGATGTTTGCTGGAGGAAAATGCACATATTTAGTAATTTAGACAAATGCCTTCGTTGTTTTTATAAAGTCAGTGGGAATAAGATCAACGTGAACCAAAGGCAGGCACAGGCAACGTCTCGGTTGTTTTGGAGCGCAACAGAAACAAAAGTTTTCTTATTCTGCTTGTGACAGGATCTGACCTTGAGGCTCCTGAAGTGGAATATACGGAAGTACAAGTATCAGTGCCTGACCCTTATCGAGGTAAGGAGGACATCTTGGGACACAGTGTGTCCACAACAGCTGTGAGATTGATGGTAGCTCCCAAAATCGTTTTTTTCAGAAGCAGCCACAATTAGGCCTGGATAAACAGGAAGAAACACAGCTTCAAGAGCCAACAGCTATTCCTTCTAGCAGGTCTATTAATTAACAAACCAGCCTTTTATCCTGTTCATTGTGACAAGATGGGCCACCTGCACTGAACTGTTAGCCTGAAAAGGCTACCAAAGCTACACAGTCCGGTTCTGCCTTCAGCCTTCTGAACAGCAGATTAAATCGAACGCTGAGCAAGCGGACCCTTCTAATGTCCTGGTCTTTCCTTCCAACAGCTGCCTCTCAACTGGGTCTGAAAACTTGCCTTTTCTTCCAGAACAGAGAGGTTTTGGGGGGAGAAAAGAAAAGAAATCAGATTATGGGTCGCCAGCATGAGAAACAACTTCATCATTTTTCTCTTAATGCAAACAAACCCATATTAGGTTGACTTCAGAAAACTAGCTCTATAAAAGGTACCTCACCAGAAGATGTGGGCAACTGAGGCTTGAATACGTCTCCCCAAGCTGGTGCCCCTTAGAGGTCCTACATTCCAGCCATCATATATGTTAGATCGCGCAGGCAGTAAGACACGAGTTGAGTGACAGTCAGCTCTTGGTTTATGGGCAAGGCATAAAGTAAATCCGGACTGGCTCTCTGGGCCAGGGGAGCCCTCTTTTATGGGATTCCCCTGGCTTGTAATCACACAATTCCATTGGCTGGTAAGACCCTGTTGCTAGTTAGCCAACCAGCAACGGGCATGAAACTGTATGCAGATGGAGAAGGGCAATCACCCTTAATGGGCGATCAATGGTGAAGGGCAA